AAACTAAAGCAAGTAACGACTTGAAATCTTCACCATCTTCAAAAAATGTCTGAATGTCAATGTGCTGAAAGTTTTGTAAAAAACGCCAAAATTCCTGAGTTTTTCGAGCTTGGCGCAAATCGGTCTCAAAATGAATATTTTACACAACTGCGCCGTCTCCTTTAAAAATTTGCATCTTCCAAACTAAAGCAAGTAACGACTTGAAATCTTCACCATCTTAAGAAAATGTTTGGATGTAAATATGCTGAAAGTTTTGTAAAATACGCAACGATTTCTGAGGTTTTCGAGCTTGGCACAAATCGGTCTCAAAATGAATATTTTACCCAACTGCGCCGTCTCCTTTAAAAATTCACATCTTCCAAACTAAAGCAAGTAACGACTTGAAATCTTCACCATCTTCAAAAAATGTCTGAATGTCAATGTGCTGAAAGTTTTGTAAAAAACGCCAAAATTCCTGAGTTTTTCGAGCTTGGCGCAAATCGGTCTCAAAATGAATATTTTACCCAACTGCGCCGTCTCCTTTAAAAATTCACATCTTCCAAACTAAAGCAAGTAACGACTTGAAATCTTCACCATCTTCAGAAAATGTCTGAATGTAAATGTGCTGAAAGTTTTGTAAAAAATGTCAAAATTCCTGAGTTTTTCGAGCTTGGCGCAAATCGGTCTCAAAATGAATATTTCACCCAACTGCGCCGTCTCCTTTAAAAATTCACATCTTCGAAACTAAAGCAAGTAACGACTTGAAATCTTCACCATCTTCAGAAAATGTCTGAATGTAAATACGCTGAAAGTTTTGTAAAAAACGCCAAAATTGCTGAGTTTTTCGATCTTGGCGCAAATCGGTCTCAAAATKAATATTTTACCCAACTGCGCCGTCTYCTTTAAAAATTCGTATCTTCGAAACTACAGCAAGTAGCAARTAGAAATTGTCACCATCTTTAGAAGTTACCTGACTCTAATGATGCTGATAATTTTCTAAAAATCATCAAGAATTCTGATTTTTGCCAGCTTCGTAAACATCGGTCCCAAAATTGATAATTTTACTAAATGGCGCTTTCTGCTTTAAAATTTCGCTTCTTTAAAACCAAAGCAGATAACAATTTGCAATTTTCCCCATCTTTAAAATGCAGCTGAGTCTACAAATGGTGCAAGTTTGCTAAAAATCGCTCTGCATCAACAACTTTGACATATTAGTGAATATCTGATCTGAAAATGAAGGTTTTTAGCCAGCATTGTTCCTCGATAAAGTGTATCTTCGGAACACTGGTTCGAAATATTCACTATCTTTAGGAAACGCTCAACTCCAAAGGTGCTCAATTAGCTTAGAAATTAAAAAGATTTAAAATTAGAAAGACGGAAAAGTTACTGGCTGAAAACCCGTAATTGCGGCTGGCATGTTGATCTAGCAACTTTCTTTGGGTAATAAATAGCCAAATAAAATTAAAAATGAGGAAACAAGCTTAAAATAGATCGAGTACTGATGGAAAAGACAATTTTCTTTGGCACCGGGCCACATTTTTCCTATTTCCACCGATTTCTTTTCCGGCGCCCACTTTACCTTAAGCCCGAACCGCCGATTATTAGAACTAGAAAAGGACAATGCCAAAATTGAAAAAACGTCAGCTGTCTGAAAATTCAAGTTCTTGTTAAAAATACTCCTGATGAGTGCAAAACTTGATTTCGTGGCTCGATCCGAGCACAAACTTGTGGGCAAAATGGGCTTTCGCATTGGGCGGACGATCGGAAAAGGCACCTACAGTAAAGTGTGTCTTTCAACCAACAGCAAGGGCGACAAATTTGCCTGCAAAATCATCAGGAAGAAACTAGCCGGCAGCGATTTTATTGAGAAGTTTCTGCCCAGGGAAATTGAGATTATCACTGCGATTAAACACCCCAATATCATTCAGGTGGGTTGAGGTTCTTCATTTAGCTTTCGTTGCTTCTCACACACTGGAAGATGAATAGCGTTATACTCTTAGGTCTACAAAATAATGGAAACCCAACAAGTAATTTACATGTTCATGGATTACTGTCGCGACGGCGACCTGCTGGAATACATCAGGGAATACGGCTGTTTTCCTGAGGAAAAAGCCAAACACTATTTTAGGCCATTAGTGGAAGCAGTGGCGTACCTGCACGATCTGGACATCGCCCATCGGGACATAAAATGCGAAAACATCTTCCTAATGGCGAACAAGCAAGTGAAGCTGGGAGATTTTGGGTTTGCCCGAATGTGTACCGACGCATATGGAAAACACGTTTTATCGGACACTTTTTGCGGATCGGCAGCTTATGCCGCCCCCGAAATACTCAAAGTAAGTGTCTGTCTGTGCCCTAAACTCTCTGGAAAGATTCTCAATGCGAAGTGAGAGTAGTAAAGGCGGCCAACAGATGCAGCACACACATGAGCAAAATTGCTGCATCTTTGGGACGCCTCTATTTAGCTTAGAGCAAACTTCGAGTACAGATACAGCCGCTGGTGCTTAATGAAAAAAAAAAAACAACTCTGGAAATAAATTTTAATGAATATCGCAAATTATCCAGAAAGTCTGGGAACGCTCTAAATTAATAAAATTTCCCACGCGTTTTTCACATCGGCTCGAATCCACCTTAGTTTGACCCAGTTATGCGACAATGTTTACATAAATCAATATACGTACGTACTCGTTCCAAGCCAGAAATTGCGAACAAATTAAATCTTCCTGCTTTTTAACTGCTTTTAACTGGAGATTTGGGGAAGAATCTTCTTTTTTGGTTTCGAACCAAATATCCAGAAAACGGGCGATTTGTTTGCATTGCATTCGTTCCTCGAATCCCTGCCAAATTTTATCTTTTGAAAGGAAAATTTAAAAAGTAACTAATTTCAGTCACCACATGAAAAGCAACACAAGCAAAAGCTATAAAAAACAATAATACAAAAGGAAAGAAAAATATGCAAAAGACGCATAATGTGCCCTCTTTTGTAAAAATTCGTATCTTCCAAATGATAGCAAGTAGCGACTTGCAGTTTTTACCACCTTAAGGGGACTCTTGATTCTACAAATGGTCACAGCTTCATAAAAAATTTCCGAGATACTGATATTTTCCAGCTGAATAATCATCAGTCTCAAAATGGATCTTCTTATCCAACTCCATTTTTTTTTAAATCACATCTTCCGAACTGAAGCAAGCAGCGTCTTGAAATTTCAACAGTCTTTGCACGATTCGTCGGTCTAAATATGCGGAAAGTTTCATTCATTTTGCATAAAATCCTGATTTTTGCCAGCTTAGTAAATATCGGTCTCAAAATGGAAGTATTAACCCAACTGCGCTCTCTCGTTTAAAAATTCGCATCTTCAATACTAAAGCAAGTAGCGTCTTGAAATTTCAACAGTCTTTGCAGGATTCGTCGGTCTAACTATGCGGAAAGTTTCATTCATTTTGCATGAAATCCCGATTTTTGCCAGCTTAGTAAATATCGGTCTCAAAATGGAAGTATTAACCCAACTGCGCTCTCTCGTTTAAAAATTCGCATCTTTGATACTAAAGCAAGTAGCGTCTTGAAATTT